CCCCAAAACCCCAAAACCCCAAAACCCCAAAACCCCACAAACAAAAAATAATATAATTTAATAATAATGTCGATTGGCTATAAATCAACGAATTCATCAATGAGTGATACTGAAGATGACATTACCAAGCATCCGCTTGGGAAATACCTAGGTAAGTTTACCTCTCAGCCAGGTTTTGGGTTCGAGATTATACTAGCTTTTGGTAGAAATCAGACATTAATTGCATATTATAGACGAAGAAATGGAGCCAACCTCTTCAAAGAAATTCGACATTGATGCTTTAATAGAGCAAGCCAAGGAAGGACAATTCTTTGATCCTGTTACTATCAAGCTTATATGTCTTAAAGCAAGAGAGTTGTTAGTGGAGGAAGAAAATGTTGTTCAGGTAATTATATCCTTAAAATCTAACATAGGTCAGTGCACCTGTCTCCCTCGTGGGGGATATTCATGGGCAGTTCCATGACCTCCTTGAGATATTTAAGATTGGAGGAGAAATACCACACACGAATTATTTGTTCCTTGGAGATTATGTTGATAGAGGAGCTTACAGTATAGAGACAATAATGCTGCTCATACTTTTCAAAATTAGATATCCCCAAAGAGTTACTTTACTCAGAGGAAATCACGAGTCTAGGCAGATCACCCAGATCTACGGCTTTTATACTGAGTGTCAGAGGAAGTACGGAAATCCTAATGCTTGGAAATATGTAACTGACTTGTTTGATTATCTTCCAATTGCAGCTTTCATTGATGACTCAATCTTTTGAGTCCATGGAGGACTTTCCCCTCTACTGCAAAATATTGACTATGTCAAGGAAATCAACAGGTTCAGAGAGATTCCTCATGAGGGAGCTTTCGCTGATCTCATGTGGTCAGACCCTGATGCTGACCTTGATGGCTTTAAGATCTCTCCAAGAGGAGCAGGGTTCCAATTCGGCTGAGATGTGGTGAAAAGATTTATCGAATGCAACAACATTAGTAAGATCTATCGTGCTCATCAACTCTGCATGGAAGGGTACCTGATTCTCTTCGACGGAACCATGAACACAGTCTGGAGTGCCCCAAATTACTGATACCGCTATGGAAACTTAGCCAGTATCAACGAAATCGATGAACACCTCAACGACTTCTTCAATGTGTTCTCTTGATCCCCAGAAAATGCAGAAGAAAGCAAAGATAATGATGGTGACAGGGTCAAAACTCCATTAAGCAGCAAGTCAAAGCATAAGGAGATCGACTATTTTCTCTAAAATCATTACTATTTTCAATCGAATGTGACTACACTGGGGTTTTGGGGTTTTGGGGTTTTGGGGTTTTGGGG